ATACAATCACATATACGCACACACACACACACACACACAAATGCAAATAGCGCCGGCTACAGTAAATGCGCTCCAAGATGAACGATCCTGGCAAGAATTTTACATGGAACTCTACAAATCTATTTTTTGCTTTGATTACAATATTCAATTTTCATTTTGGTTTTTCCAAGTATTAGATAGTTATTCCTTTTGGAACCTTAAAGCGGCTGTATCCTATTTTGGTTTTCCTGAGTCTTAGTTTAATTCTGAAACGTTGAAGCATATCTTAGATATCCTTCATATCCTACATTCATAGCACGGAAATGAAAATTGAAATCCCAGCTAGGTTTTGGGAATATGGCTTAGTTTTCGATGTAAAATCATTTAATATTATTAGTATATTAGCGGTGCAAGTTTCTGAAGTTTCTGCCAAATTTTCTATCGACTTTCAACAAACAAATCTCTAGAATTAGATAAAATATGGCAATAAATTCATAAAATCTAAAATTTTGTAACATATAGAAAGTGCTGGAGAAAAATGTGAAGCCAATAGGTAGATGAAGTAAGTAGCTCTAGCTTTTGTGCGTTTTCTGTACCGGCAATCAGCAAAACGAAGCAGATGACGATGTGAAGGACACGCAGAGCTTTTGTCCTGTGTGCTGTCCCTTTTGTGTGGGCGTAAGTGAGCGTATATCTACGCGTCTGCACGTGTATGTGCAGCGAGCTGCAGTTGAGTTGCCTAATTACTTGTAAGTTGGCGAATCTGCGGCGTGTTGGCGACGACGGCAACTAAATTGAATTTGACGTCAGCCAGTGCTCCAGCAGCAATGGTCAATTGTTAACGAGAGCTTGTCGCCTCTCGCTATGTATGTGTGTGAGTGAGTGTGTGCGAATGTGTGTTGAAATGCGCACGCCCAACGGATGCAGACGTCGCGTGTACATCGTTTCCGGTTTCCGGCGCACGATGCCGTTGCCCAAAGCACAGGACGCGACATTGCGGCGAACATTTCTTGATTGCTAAGCGAGTTAAGCGCGTAATTATTTTTTAAGCATTTTGTCTGCCAACGAAATTGAACCTAACTAAGCCAATTTTTTTTTTCTTTTTGCTTTCTTCTCCTACTTTTTTATATTCGTTTTTTTTGTTGTTGTTGTTGGAAAAAGTCAATGGGCATTCAGGCAGTCAGCTTGCCTCGAATTTGAATAGCGTAACACACGCGAGCGCAGGATGCGTTGTCCTTTGAAACTTTTTCGCTGTTGCTGATATTGTTGCTGTAAGTGTTGCTGTTGTTGTTATTTTCGTCTTCTTTTCACGTTCGCTGCGCCGTTTTCGCCTTCAACATGTTCTTTTTTTTGGGTGCTTTGTCCAATTAGTAACAGTTTGGGTTACGATTTCATTTCTTTTATTATGCTCGTTATCCTTTTTATTTTGCGGCCTTTCTGTTGTTGTTGTTGTTGTTGTCGCTGGCTGTGCGCAAAATTTGATATGCTTGCTATAGCAGCAGTAGCAGCAAATTGTTGTACAATTATTTTGCTGGCGTTCTCGTTGCCGTATTCGCTGGCAAGTGGCGCCATGGTCTCTCGCCGTCTCCCTCACATCCCCACTTGCTGTCTCACGCTCAATTGTCGAATTTTATTTATATGCGCTCTTTGGGGCTGCTGGGAGAATCAAGCGGGGCTAACCACAAAATGTCATACCACTTACTCCTGTCCTCAATTGTCCTGCGCCAATATTGTCGCCCTTTCGGTTATTTATGGCGCATGCACCGGTCCCATGGGCCTGTGGCCAAGTTTTAGTAGTCATCGTCTACCAAGTAATAAATTTATGCTTTTTTATTTCCTGCTGTCATAATTTTACCCTCAAATACACATACACGTACACGCACACATGCATGAGTCTTGGATAGATGTGCCTGCTCGCAAAACCTTGTACGTGAATTTGTGTGTGCAAAATACTTTCTTACCAAGCATATACTCTACTGCTAAGAAGACTCTTCCCATTCTAGTCCTCTGCTTAATGCAGACCTCATATTAAGGTATTGGCTTTTGTGTACTTTTGGGTACCATTTCTAATAGGCACTATTTGTGATATATAGTTTTTAAAACGAGAGAATTGTGGCTTATATATGTACATACTATATATTTAAAGTAACAAGTGGTTTAGTTTGCTGATCATCTAGGATTTTCCATATAATATATATATTTAAATCATATAAATAACATATGATGACAGATATAGCCACAATAAATCTTTTGCGTGCGGTTCTCAGCAATTGCCCAATTCGGAGCAATTAACGCAGTTGGAGTTTTTTATATCAATCCATTTAAGATTGTGGCCCTTACGGAGATAGAGTCTGTCTTATGGGATAGAGTCAGAAATCGCCACCAAGATCTTGAAAACTGGGTTAACGTGAAGCTAGTCGAGGCAGACACATAAATGAAATCGTGCGCCTTATTAATGGGAGTGTTTGCTCTAATAGAGCATTATCATTTCGGTTTTTGGATTACGACTGAATTATTGTTCAATTCATATTTGGACTCTTGTGTATAGAAGCGGTGTATAAAATTGGTCCAATTGATAAATTATTTGATAGAAAATACACACATTTTTTATACGCACACGCTTTGTGATGAGGCTGGTGTTGTTGGCATTAGTCTCATATTTTGTTGTTTTTGTTGCTGTAATTTTTTGGTCTGGTGGTTGCTTGATAAATTTATCCTTACCATCCCCAAAATTGTTCATATCTTCGACCACCAAGACCACCGTCCTTGTGCATTATTGTGTATTTCCGGTTATATGTATGTATGCTTTATGTCTGCTCTAAAGCAAAGCGGTCAGCTCTGTCTCCTTCTTCGTTTAGATCCGTCATCGCTTGTCAGGCCCAGGATGACACGAGCGATTTCTCTGCTCGTGCTTCATTGCATCGGCATCCACACACAACCATAAAATCAATCATACGAGTATTTGCTACGTTTTACGTGCCTTCCCTTCCCCATTTTTTTGCCTTTTGCCTCCATCGGTTGTTGTTTACTTATACCTAAATTTGTTGGTTCGCTTCAAGCGCATGTGTGTGTCTGTGTCTGTGTCCGTGAGTGTGGTTAGGCTTTGCGGTTTAGGTCGTCTTTCGCAAACCTGCCGACTTACTTACATGCATCTTTAAATGTTTTCCATAAATTTTCCGTTTGAGTTTTGTGGCGAGAAAGCGAGCGTAAAGTGGCAAAGTAGAAACAAATTTGAAGCGATTTGTAAGGTATTTAAAATATTGTTGTTGTTGCTTTGTGTTTGTGTTCGTTGTTGGAATTCCCAAGACAATATGCTACATTAATTTTAATAGAATTGTTTATGAGTCGCTGCCATGCTCCTGGCAAGCTCTGCTTTATAATCGTATATTTGGGCTTGGGGCGCAATTTATGCACATTTGATTATTGTTATGCACCAGTTTATCGCAGTTGACTTGTTCTTGTTGTTTCCCAGTGCATGTCTAAACGTGAACAGAGAGCTCCCATGTGTGCAACTGCCAAAACATGTTAAATGCAAAAGTTGAAAAATGAATTCGAGCACAGTGGCAAGAACATACAAAAAAGAAATGAAATAGAAATGCTTCTAAATTTCGAGAGAAATGAAATCGCAATGTTACAAGCCGTGTGCCAAATCAAAGCCAACGAATCCAAATACGCGCACAATATTTTTCAGGATTATTTCAGTTGGCTTGTCGTTGGCTACGCACACATATACACACACATTTAAGTGTGTGTGCCAGTAAAATGGAGACACAAATTTTACTCTTCGTTCCAAATTTCTGTTAATTTGGCAGCAAGCTTACCCTTTTTGCTGTTATTATTGTTGCTGTACTCGTTGTCATGCTATTTTCCTTGTTGGTATTGTTGGTTTGTTTGTGTGCTGTCCTGCCTGCCTTATGCCGTTTATATTTTTTACGCTTTGCTTGAGCTTTATTTGTGCAGTATTTTTATTTTTCTGTTTTTTGCCAAAAAATTGTTACCCGCTCACCCGTGTCGCTTTCGCTCTGATATGCAAAACGCTACGCGCACATAAATTGCCAAAGCAGAACTCCTATTTGCATAGGAATTATGTATTTGGGCAGTGGGGTGGGGAGGGGATAGCTGCACAGCCCGCTTCACTATCCAAATACACAAATACGCACAGCCAGATGCGAGGGGTGAATGTTTAGTCGCGTCCTGGGTACTCCAAATTAATTACATAACAAAATAATCCTGAGTACATAACACAGCTTAGGATTAATAATTAAATGAAACAAAACTAGGCAGATAGTAATACTCTAATGCGTTTCAAAGTCCAAAGTTCTCATTTTTTCAATTGTTATTATCATTTTCAATGTATTATTGTTCCTCCCCTTGACTGATTTTCGATAAATATCACAACCAGCGCAATTTGTAGACAAAATACAGATTTTCATGCAGAAGTGAATAAATTGTTAAATTTCAATAAATAGTAACAAATTGTGATGTTGGAATTGCGAACCATACTGACTTCCTCTCTGGGGTTTCCATTTATAAAACAAAGATGTATTAGAATGACAAAATAAGATTTTCTAACAACTGCCGGAATCTTAACAAAAATTAAAAGAGAAGAGTTCAAAATTTTCGTTGTGGTATAAAATAAGCATGAAAGGGTAGAGTTTATTACTTGTATTGAAAGGGTATATTAATTATTAATTATTTATTAATTAAATTCGGAAGACTAGGATCGTTTTAACTCAATACCTTGAATTTGCCTATCTTCAGTTTAAGGTTACTTACAATCGATTAGAAAAGGTTAGTAATATTAATTGTACTAACTGGCCAATATTTTGAATTAGAATTCATAGTTAGATCATAAGCGTAAAATATATTGTTGTCGTGCTCAAGCCTAACCTAACTTTAAGTACATTTAACAAATGTGTTTATTTATTATGCAGTCCTCGTAACTCCTATGCTGCATAGGCGTCGCTCTGTGGTTATGCACAAATTTAAAACGCATGTCGTTCTTTGCTTATATTTTGCAGCTATAAATTGTGTTCCCGCCCCGGAAAATGCAGTGCAGCAAAACAAGCAATTAAAGGAGAGAAAGAGGAACTGTAGCAACAGCAACATCAACAACAGCAACAACAGTGGGTCCTCTTGCAACACAAACGCCTAGCCCGGATTCCCCCGCCACTCTGTCTGCTTGCCTGGTATCCTTCGAGCCTGTCTGCCTGCAAGCTGTGCTAAAAACCTATTTTAAATAATTAAAATTCCGTAAGTGCAGCACAACTACAACATCGGTAGCAGGGGTAGCGGCAACGAAAGAAGACGCGCCACCAGGTAGCAGAAGCGATAAAAAAGTTTCTGCACAACTTTTGCAACATTTCTGTGGCAAGGCGCGTCGGGTCCTCCAACAATGAAATAATTAATTCAATGCACTCGAATACGCAATTTTCAAGCTCAGCTGAGAGTCGAGCAGTAAGTGAGTGAAACGGCTTACACAGACAAGCAACTTGTTCAAAACTATTGGACACAAACAACCGCATAAAAAAAAAAACAAATAAAAAACAAAAGTAATTGTAAAAGCAAGAAAATATAGACAAAATGGCAGCGAAAAGTATTAGCTCAACTGAACGTTGCAGTGCATCGACAACAAAAACTACACCAACAATAGTGGCAACAGCGGTCAGCATAGCTTGGACAATTAGCCAATATATTGCCAAAGCGCGTAACAGTGAAGATGAAACCAACAAGAAGAACAACAACAGCAACAACAACAACACACATATCCAGCGCAAAAGAAATCATCAATTTTCAGGCCTTGGCCGCTCACTGATGCTGCTGATCGCCTTTATGCTGACGCAGCACTTGGATAACGGTAAGTGGAAAATGCAATTGGGAGCCCATGTACTGACCACGACCACTCAAAGTCATCAGCAAGTCTTATTGGTGCGGTGGTGGGGTGTGGGTGGATGGAAAAAGGAGAGGGGTGAGGGTACCGACAATCAAGCCATTGAATTGACAAACCCACAAATTCCGCACGCCAAAGTCGTCGAGTTGTCGTCATCGACGTCATCGTCATCGTCGACTGGCGAATTAATCTCACAGATGAATATTTCAAAGCGAAACTTAAGCAATTAATTTCGCTAATTGCTTTTCTTCACTGCGTTTTTGTTTCAGGGCGGCGAGGCATCTTCATTTTCTTTCAGTTCCTCCCCTTCCTTCCCCTTTCTCATTTGCTGTGCCGTCAGCCTTGTGCCGCCATCGTTTTGCATTTAAATGCTTTTGGTCGCTTGCAAGTGCCACACAGACACGCACACACATACATACTATTTTCAAGGACTTAACTTTGACTGGGCATAAAACTCAATCTGACATTTATGCGAATGTCCACGGAATCAAATAAGAGTAATGACATTGCCCAAAGGCGACGCAAGGGAGCAACAGCGCAAACGTCTTGGACCAACGCATCCTATCCGTTGGCATGGTCGGGGTGCGGCATGGAATGTCAGTGCGGATCCAGCGAGTGCAATGTCCTGCTATGGCTGCTCAAACATTCCAGTGGCTATTAGTATTCATATCTTGGCTGAACTAAACTGAAAGCTTAAATTGCTGTGTACGGCTAGCAGCGACTTGCATTGGGGGTCCGCGTATGGAATGGCTCGCCTCATTTTTTCCCCCTCTCCTTCTTTATCTGCCAACGTTTGCATGAATTTTCATTTCGAGCTAGAATTGTTGAAAAAGATGCAATTAAATTTTTGGGTAAGGAGGAGAAGGAAGAGCATGCAGTTGATGGTATGCAGAAGATGGCATGTAGAAGATGGTATGCAGAAGTAAGAGCAAAAATAAAAAGGACGAAAAGCTTCAAGCGTGCCAGAGCACTAAGCGGCGTTCAGTTCATCTCTCCTTCCCCCTACCCCCCTCCCCCTAGATCTAGCCTTATCGCCCGCTAGCTTTGGGCTGTTAGTGTGAGTGTGTGCGGTTGCAGCTGCTGTCAGTGGCAAGAACGCATTATTAATTTATTTTTGAGCTTGCGAGATGAATAAGCAAAGAGCAAAATTTTCTTGGCCTGCCTTCGCCCCACTCCTTCCCGCACTACAGTTCTTAGTTTTCCTCTCTTCTTTTTTCTGCCCGCAAATTTTCTATTTAACCGTCGAGAGATTCCTTTTTGCATGTAGTTTCGACATTGGCAAGTAACCCAAAAATGTAGCGAGTGACGGGCGACGTGTTTCGTCCAACTTCAATCTTCTGTCCATCAAGGGACTTCGATTCTGGTTTCGCAGTACTCGAGAAAAAAAACTCAAATCCAAAAAGTGAATAATGAACCGCAAATAAGTTTACTTTGTGCTGCTGAGTTGGGCTCCGCCCTCCACAGCCATCCTCGACCATCGAGCTATTGTTTCAATTGCTGCAGGACGTTTGTCTACGCCATTACGGCAGTCAACGCGACTGACAGGACAGCCAGAACCGACCGGATAGCGCAGTGCAGCGCATCTGGACTAACTGCGAGTGTCAGTAACAATTATTTCGGTTTGCAATCGAGTTGAGTTGAGTTGGGCTAAGCTTACTTTTCACGTTATTTTTTGTGCTAATGTTTGCAATATTTGCCTTTGTGGCTATTAGACGGGCGAAAAGACGGACAGCTGCCGTTGAATTGGATTACAGCTAGGATTAGATGGTTTGTTCATCATTCATAAGGGGGACTTTAAATAAATACATTTACATTTCAGCTTGCCATTCAAAGATCATCAAAAAGTATCACAAACTTTTTTATTTTGGACTTTCCTCTAACTTTTTTTTTCAGTTATTTACATATATTTGATGTAATTTGTGATTATATAGCTTGATCCATTTTTTAAAGTTCTTGCCCTGCACCTTAAGTATTTAATGAAGCATCTCCGACCCCATAAAGTATAAAAAGCATGATGAGACAATTCCATCTCAAAATGCCAGCTGAGCCCATATTGACTGAACAAGCAGCTTTACTATTAAGTTTAAAGGAAATTACATGAAAGGATTTTTCTAGTTATTAGGGTAAAATCTCGCGCTGAATTTAGAAACGCTTCTTCTCCAAATGTGATCATTTCGCCCTGAAAACCAGAAACTGCTGCTCTTTGCCACGGAAATACAGTAAGACATATATAATGACATATATCACCAGAATCTATTGGCGTCATTTCAAATACCTACGATAGGCAGAAACTTTTGAACGGAATAAAACCCGAAAAAATTTCGGGGTGTACCGAACTGTACGAAATAGACATGGATGGCGACGTCGCGTTGTTTAAAAAAATGCATTGTGAATCGAACCCACATCCAAACAAATATTTTAATATTTTGTAAAATTCCCATAGTTTTAATAAAATGCGACTCGATTTTCCACAAATACTTTCTGGTTTTAAGAACATTTTTTTATAACCTTAAGACTAAAATGCGAACGTTCCACAAAATTAATATTATTTTCAGTTTAAGGCAATTGCATTTTTTTCTGAGTGTAGGCAACACAAGGACTTCATCATCAGTACTATCCATAACACAAAAAAATATAAATAAGCACTTAATATACAATACTATAGCTCGTTTTCAAAATTCAGCTATTGTTATTAATTGATAGAAACCAGCATTTGTTTTTAAAAAGCCGATATCATCCAAATCATCAACATACTCATTTTTATTCTGTTAGTTACCATATTTTTCCTTAAAAAACCATTTGCAATTTTCATGCAGACCACAAGATTTGTGTCTTAAATATTTGAAAATATTGGCTGTCCAGCTGCTTTCGAGCCCTTCAAGTTTCATGGCCAACATCAGAGAGTGGCAGCGGAAGAGTGTCCAGTCCAGTTCAGTGCCAAGTAAGCGGTTTAACTGATAAAAACGTCCATCATGTGAAAGAAGGAAATTCCTTTACACTCAACTATTGTTGAATGAAATGCCAAAACGAACGTGGCTTGGGCATGGGTTTATTTTCGACTAATTTGGGCTAATGTCTAATCTAAATGACATAAATTATCAGCAGTTGCCCAAATAAAAAACGAAGAAAGTAGTCGAATAAAAGTAAACATTATCGCAGTGCTTGCGGGCAGTCTAAATAATGTTTAGATTTTACCAAAACATTCCGGAAAAATGTCAGCCGTAACTAATCAACTTGACATAGGTAAAAAGTTTGGCCCAAAAACTTCCGAAACTAGACAAACTTACTTTGCTGCTTTTATTCTGGCGACTCTTTTGGCTTATCTGCCAATGCTTCGAATGGCTAAAATTTATTAACTGCATACCTTAAAAATGCAAATAAATCACGCAACAAAAAACTAAAAAGTTTTGACTGTTCGGCTGATTGCATGGGAAACAAAGCAGCGGCAAGCCGCAAATGCCTCAATACCGCATTTCCGTAGAAAGTGATAAGCCCAACAGTAGGCTGGAGAGTAGTGTTTGAAGTGTCTGGGGATGGAGAGACTAGTGGAGTAAGTGCCTTCACTTCTCAGACTGCTGCCTAGTTGAGCGTTAAAGTTGTGCTTACCCAGAAGTGGAAAGAACCGCAAAAAGGATATTGACGCATGATGCCGACGCCAGCAATAACAACAACGATGGCGCACTTAAGTCAACGCGCCTACAAGTTGCTGGCATTGAGTGGGCGCGTGCTCAACTGAGGGGGTGGTTGCGCGCCATTTTCATCTTTTTTTTGTTGTTGTTGTTGTAGTTGTGGTTGTTGTAGGTGCGGCAGTGTCAAGTATTTGCACTCGAATCGCGGGCTAAGCAAAATTTACGCGCATTTGTTTGTACGAGGACTCCAGAGAAATGGCAGTCAACGCTATTGTTGTTGTTGTAGTTGTTGTTGTTGCTATTGATGTTGCCACCGTCGAGTGAAAATCGATTTGTTGGTGTGAGTGCGAATGTGTGATTGTATGTGGTTTATGGTGTATGGTGTGTGTGCTGGCATTGTTGCATAGCCACAATGTTTTCTTTTTCCGCTTCGTATGGCTTTTTATTGGTTTTTGCTTGCGCTTTGCTGCTTTTTTGTGTCATGAGCAAACGAGCGGCAGCATTTGGGCAAACAAACTAGACCTGCCATCATCCAAGCACACAAACTAACACACACACACGTACTTATGTATATGCCCGTATGTGTATTGCTTCATCGGGCAAGCAACGTGTGCTTGGGCTTGCTATAAAAACTGTTGATGTCGTCGACAACTTGAACGCCAACGCCAACGCGAACGTCATCATCTCCGGCTTTGGAGACTGACACTCTAACAGCAACGTCCCCTAGTCTGTTGGCTCATCATTATCTCCCGCCCGGTTGCCACTTGAGCCAAGTGCAGACGTACACACCAAAATCTTCTTCAACTTCAACTTTATCTCGTCAATAACTTGGTATGTTGCGGTGGCCTCCCACACTGCCACTACCACCACCACCACCATTAACATCATCTTCAACATCATCATCAACATCATCATCGTCATCGGCAGCTGCAGAAGCAGCAGCAGAACCACCCACACAACTTTACTTTTTGTTGATTTTCCTAGCTGCTCACAAGTTTCACTTCCGGCTTGTGGTTGCCTAGAGCCGCATTTATTGATAAAAATTTGCCGCTTTACATTTCTGGTATTTTGGCACGCGCTGCGGTTGCACCAACAAAATGTTTGCAAATGATTATTTTATTGACAATTAAAGCATGAGCATAAAATGAAGCCACACACAAATCTACCAAAGACTGAGGCGACAGCAGCAGCGGCAGGAATAGAACAACGATTGCGACACTGTGTAAAGAGTAAAATTTTATTGCCATGAATGTCAAGAGTTGACATTAGTCGCATGTGTGTGCGGGCATGTATGTGTGTGTGTTTGTGTGCGAGTATGTATGGTGTGTGTGTGGGGGT